ATCTTTTATAGCCCAGCAATCAAACTGTCCGAGTATGGTCGACTCTCTGGTGGTGTCTGCGTAGGTGTTCATCGATCTGTCAGCAAATCGTGTAAGTTGTTGAAATCTGATTTTGACAATTTTATATGTATAAAATTCAGTAAGTCGATATTTGCAACCGATAAAGATATTAACTTGATATGTACATATATCCCACCAGTGGGTTCATCCTACTATAAGACTCACACAAAATGTAGTCTTGATAATGTTGATCAGTTTTTACTTTCTAATTTGTCTGAGTTTAGAGATTACCATATTGTACTTTGTGGCGACATGAACGCGCGAACAGGAGAGAGTAACAACCCCCAAGTGACATGTGTCGATGATAGAAACGTCACCAACATATTTGATGACGAGGAGGATATCCCTGTTGGGGATCGTAAATCACATGATAAGGTCATAAATAGATTCGGACAAATTGATCGACATGTGTTATGCATTTCATTTATTTATTGGCAATGGTAGAGTGTTTGGAGATGAACAAGGTGAATATACTTTTGTCGGACAGCATGGCTGTAGTGTTAATGATTATTCCGTCTGTTCTCCTGATCTCTTTGAATATATAAGTATGTTGAATATAGGTGATCGATTAGATTCCGATCATCTGCCTTTAGAGCTCAAATGCCGATTCCCTAAAATGGACATAATTAAAGGTAAATCAACAGCGGATATCTCCTCTAATGAAAAAAGTGTGTGGAATGAGTCTATATGTAAGATATTTTTAGGAAATCTTCAAGAGAGAACCGCAGCTGGTTGTCAGTCGGTGTTTAATAAACTTGATAGTAATATAGAAGATGCTATTGATGATTTTGTAAGTATGATTTTAGATTCTGCAAGCTGTATGAAGAAACGTGTATCGATCGCACCGCCGCGAAACAATCCACCCTTAAATGCTGAGTGTAAGGCTGCACGACGGGCTGCACGAAAATCTCTAAAGACATTTAGACATAAACGTAATGATATCAATAGAAAACTATATTGTAAAGAACGAAATGTATACAGAACTGCTGTAGAAGATTTAAATCAGACCTGAGTAAACGAAATGTCGATAAATTAACAAAGGCAACAAAAAGCCCGACCTCATTTTGGAAACAAATCAGATATTTAAAAAGTCGACCAACACGAAAAAATGTAATTCCGAAAGCGGAATGGTTAAATCATTTTAAAAATGTATTTCATAATGATTTTGTTTTTAATGATTCTTTTGATGATTGTCCTTTGCAGGATGATGCAACACCATATATTTTAACTGCAGATGTGTCAGACGTCGAATCACTTGTATTAGACTCACCCATAACAGATAATGAAATATCAGAAGCCTTATTGTATTTGAAAAATGGAAAATCAGCTGGTCTTGACCTCGTCGTGGTGGAAATGCTTAAAAGTTCAGAGTTTGTTATCATGCCCTTTTTGAATAAGTGTTTTAATAAATTGTTTGAAAATGGTATTTTCCCCCGTTCTTGGGCACGATCAATTATTGTTCCCTTACATAAGAAAGGTGATGTCACCAATCCAGATAATTATAGAGGAATTTCCCTTATGAGTATTTTAGGTAAAGTCTTTACATCTGTTCTAAATAACAGACTCACTAAATAGGCAAGTATGACAGATAAAATTCCCAAATCACAAGCAGGCTTTAGAAAGAAATATTCAACTTCTGATCATATCTTTACACTATTTGCACTAGCCCAGAAATGTCTATCCCGTCTTAAGCGAAAATTATATGTAGCTTTCGTTGATTTCCGTAAAGCATTTGATTCTGTCAATCGTTCTAAATTGTGGTATTCTTTAAGTAATGCTGGCCTGAAAGGTAGAATGTATTAAATTTTAAAAGCAATGTATACTAATGTGATAGCTTGTGTACGTTGTGGTGATGATAAGACTGATTTTTTCGACTGCCCCGTTGGCTTAAGACAAGGATGTGTTGTGAGTCCAATTCTGTTTTCCCTGTTTATCAACGAATTGTACTACGATATTATCGCAAATGGTAAGCATGGCATCCAAATGTGTCCAGATCTCTTAGAACTTTTTATTCTTTTATTTGCTGATGACGTAATTCTTTTATCAGAATCTGACTACAAACCCAGTTAAATATTTTGGAACGGTATACTAAAACATGGGATTTATCCGTTAACCTAGATAAAACGAATATTGTTATATTTAGAAAAGGTGGCCGGATATCTTCTAAAGAAAGGTGGTCCTTTAATGACCAACCTGTAATTGTCTCTGATCATTACACTTATCTTGGTATTAAGTTTACATCTGCTATGAACTGGAAAACATCTGTTACTGAATTATCATTGAAAGCTAAGAAAGCGTTGATAAGTCTTTTATCTGCCTTGTGTAAAATTGGTGTGTTGACGCCCAGTACTTACTTTAAACTATTCGATTGTCAAATTCAGCCTATTCTTTTGTATGGATCCGAGATTTGGGGATTCCAGAGATATGAATGCATAGAAAAAATACATCTGATGGCCTGTAAGAAATTTTTAAATGTAGGACCCTCTACACCGAATTGTATGGTGTACGGTGAATGTGGGAGGTATCCCCTGTATATAAATGCTCATATTCGATGTATAAAATTCTGGCTTAAGATATTGTGTATTCAAGAACATAGATTACCCAAAAACGCTTATAACATGCTTGTTCATTTGGACAACATTGGTAAAGTGACGCGGGCATCTTATGTAAGAAATCTTCTGTTTTCACATGGTTATGGTTTTGTATGGTTAAGTCAGTCAGTTGGTGATGCAAGTTTGTTTTTAACTCAGTTTCAAGAAAGAAGTCTTAATATGTTTAATCAAGAATGGTATTCAGTAATACATAATAGTTCACGGTACGACTCTTATAGAATATACAAATCACTACTCCAGCCGGAGAAATATCTGTCTTTTTTAACATCAAAGAAATTAAGATATCCATTTATACGTTTTAGGTTAGGTTTGATCAACATAATGGTAAACGAAGGAAGACGTTTTTATATTGAACGATGCAAGAGAATGTGCCCACTGTGTAATATAGATGTGGTAAATGAAATCCATTTTTTACTTGTATGTCCTTTGTATAAAGATTTGCGTACGAAATATATAGCTGAATATTATCTATGTAAGCCACCTACATTAGCATTTAAACTACTTCTTTCATCAACTGACCAGCATGTAATAATAAAGCTGTCGTACTATATCAATTATGCTCTTATTAAACGTAACAATCTGATAAAAAGAGTTGTAGGTCAATCGTATTTCACTATTTGTACATAATTTATTGCCTGTATCATGATTTGCTGTTTGGATCACTAAGTACTACTTATTGCACCATATGTATAATGTATAACTCCAATGTATATGGGCCGGAGGCCTTTTGTAAAATAAACATCTTTGAATTTGACTTGACCTTTTCAAATCTGAACTGACAACACAATTATCCTGAACCACAAAAGAAGCATCGCTTTTCAAAACCAAATGCACAATTTTGTTTTTGCAAGGTGGTGTTTTTATTATGATTGTACCGTTTTGTTAACATGTGTTTCAATCCAAATTGACAGTCATTACCAACATCAGTGTGTTTTCTGATGAAACAACATATCGACTAAACGCACCGAAAAAGGCAGACATGGTAAAAGGTTCGGTATGACATTAGAGAAAATGAAAATGCACGTGCATGTGGTGACAACCCTACCAATGAAAGCAAGGCTCAAACTCGCCTGGAATCTTTTTGTTTTGACACAATCACCATGCCACGACTTACGAGAGATCAGAGGAACCAAGTCTTGAGACGATTGCAAGTTATCCAGACTGCACGGAGGGTAACCAATCATTTTTATGTTCATGTTAGGACAATCTACCCACCGTAGGAGTGGTATCAGGTCACTATCAGCACTCAAGACCATCAACACCACGGACGACATTCAGTAACATCGACTCATCAAGCCCGACCGATTAGGGGACACCATCTGCAGGATCGCTTCCCGAGAGCGACAGAAACAGCACTCGAGACCATTAGGACTCACAACAGACCCATCAGTGCCTATACAGTGCGTCGACGTTTGCGCGGAAGAAACCTCTGCTGTCACAGATCCTTTCGTAGTCCTGTCCTCACCGCTCATCATCGCCAAAACCGACTGTAATGGGCAACTCAGCTTCGAAACTGGCGTTATCAACCATAGAGAACTGTGCTCATGAAAGCCGATACTGTGTTTCGACAGTCGATAGCAGAGTGAGAGTATGGCCAATCCAATCATCCTTTTTTTGATTACCATAAGTTTACAAATACATGCAAAGCATCATGGGGGTATTTTTCAAAAATATATCACTTTTAGGCTATGGCTTGAAACAAATCCAGCAATAATGTACAGGTAAACTAATCATGTCATGTTGACAGACATTATAATGGAAATAAATGTACATAGATTTCTTAATTGCTTCATATTATGAGTTTCAAATAGGGCTGACATTTTATAATAGTTAGGGTTGTTTACATCATATATGACGAAGGCGCGGTGAATAGAGTATTGTTGAAAGAGACTCATGGGGTAGTCCAAGCATCATAGTGTGGGTGTAATCGGTCTGAACCAGTTAGTTGACACCGTGGTCTTGATCCAGGATGAGGAAATGACGTGGCAGCTGCTCGCTATATTGATTAAGTCATAAGACCCCACCCCATTTTTGGTGATTTTGTTTGTGTGAACTCTAAATGTGATTCCCGAAAATGTGTTAACCATAATTGTCAAGTTTGAACTCAGTCCTCCGTTTTGATTGTTAATTAGAGTGAATTAAAGTGTGTACTTTAAGAAACCGCTGTCGGTGCGACATTTCTTTTGTGGTTCAGTATAAGTGTAACCAATATAGGGTTTTATTTCATGTAATTTATTGATACCTACTTGGGTGTCCCACTTCTTCTTTATCAGATTACGGATGTAGGTTCTAATGTTAGCTTTGTAATCAGAGTATGGGATGACAAGCGGTGTCACAGATTTATTTAGTGCTGCCTTGGCCGCAAGATCGGCCAATGTGTTCTCAGAAATGCCAAAGTGGCTGGGTAACCAACTGAGAACGATACTACATATTGAGTAGTAGCCAATTCATTATATAATTCAATAATTTCTAGTGGATGTTTGCAAGAAAGATTTTTAATAGCCTCCAAGAAATAGAGTCAGAAAATAGTAATATATTGTTTATATTTAGAATGTTTTTTAACATATTTCAGAGCTGTTAATATGGCGTTAGCTTCTGCTGTGAAAATAGAGCTGTTATTTGGTAATCGAGAAGATATTGTTCTGGATCCAATGACAGTGGCACAAACAACTGCGCCACCATCCTTAGATCCATCTGTAAATAGAGATTTGTAGGTATTATATTTACTTTTTTATTGATTAAATTCTTGTTTATGTTGTAATTCATTAGTTTCTGACTTTTTAAATGTGGTTAATGTTAGGTCTACTTGTGGCCTAACCAACTGCCAGGGCGGAGAAGAAAGAAGACGGAAAGGACATATATTTCCAGCTCAACGCCGACAGCAGAAATGAATGGTTTAATTCTCAGACCAAGAGGCGGAACAAGAGACGATTTCTTGTTGTACACATCCTCATAGAGGGGATTGAAGCAGGGTTTGATTCGTGAGAGTATAGTTTTGTAATGTATTGTAAAAATAAGTTTATACGGCGTTGTGTAAGAGACTATCAACAGGAGAAGTTCGAAAAGATCCAAGACAAAGTCTTAGACCTTGGTGGTGGACGGAATGAAGAATTTTAAGGTTGTTTTTGCAGCCTCCACAATATTCGATGGAGCCATAATCAAGTTTGGAACAGACCAGTGATCGATATAGGTGTAGGAGGGTAGCTTGATCCCCTCCCCACTTAGAATTGGACACCACTTTCAGCAAGTCAAGTGCCTTCAGGCATTTACTTTTGAGATGTTTAATATGGGGAAGAAAAGTTAAATGGGAGTCAAAAATACGACCCAAGAACTTGGCCTCCTTTACAACTTTAATTAGACGAAGTTCAGGGTCTTTTTCTGCAGTTTGTATTTACGTCAAAAATATATACAATTAGTTTTTGATTTAGAAAATTTAAAGCCATTTTCAAGATACCATTTATTTATTTTATTTAAACTCAACTGTAGTTGTCGTTTCCACAAGAAAAATTAAAATCATCCGCAAAAAGTGATCTATCTATTGAATCATTTAAAACCTTTGATAAACTGTTGATTTTGATACTAAATAATGTTACGGACAAAATACTGCCTTGTGGGACGCCCTGATCCTGATTTATAATGATTAAGGCAAACAACCTCGTAATCCAAAGTCATCTTTTAAAATGTTGTTTATTAATTCCTAAAGATTTCAAACGCACTAAATGGTCAATGGTACTTCTGTTTTTACGACCGCCTCCGTGGTGTAGTGGTTAGAGCGTCCGCCCGAAGAGCGGAAGGTCGCAGGTTCGATCCCCGACCGCGTCATAACAAAAGACGTTAAAATATGGTACTTGTTGGTCCCTGCCTGGCGCTCGGCATTAATGGGTACAACAAGGACTGGTCGGCTCAGAGTCAGTATAATGTGTCTGAGTGGGGTATTCATGCTTCACTGCGGCATGGTATCTCATTGGGCTAGCACTATAAAACCAGCTTAAGTCTGGGCTAGTACAAGCAGCCGCACATACACATACATACACACGCATGCACGTCGTCATATGAGCGAAATATTCTCAAGCACGACGTTAAACCCAATTTCACCTCACCTCACCTTTGTTTTCACGGAATCCACATTGTATATCTCTTATTAGGTTATTCGTTTCCAAGTACCAAACAGGTCGATTATTTATCATGCGTTCCATGGAGTGAGTGAGTTAATATATATCGTCACATCGGCAATATTTCAGCCATATCGTGACGAGAACAGTTTATAATTATATTATAGATCAATAAAGTAGGACATTAAAAAACCTGTTGACGAAGAACAGTAAAACTACTAGTGTATCACAGATATCCATTTAAAACTAGCAATTAAATCTAAAATATTGGAACTAGAAATGACAATACAATATAAAAACAGGCTATAGATTGCCAACAACTGAAGGTAGATCACCATACTAGGGACCATGGGGACTTACAGTATATTTGCTTCCTGCATGGGCCCTAGCTGGATTTACATCATCCCCTCAGCTGTTAGCAATTGAGATATATCTAGCCATACATTAAAATGACGCATATTCTACGATTAAAAAACGAAAAGTTGAAATTTACTTTGAGTGTTTTGGGACTTACGTACTCTCTCAGGAGGACAGTAATTTTACAGTACTTTAACCCCCCCTCGAGGATACAGCCACTAACAATCTGTGTTACTAATTCTTCCAATAACTTCCAATCATAAAATATTTAGCTATTTACATATCTGTTAACAAATTTAATTCTTTTAAAAAAGCAATAATTAAATGAGGACTTATATTATTTAAAAGATCCTTCATAGTTTGGGATTTGAAATAGATATCCCTTGTGATGGAGTACTCAACACAGTCAAGCAAGACATGCTTGACCGTGATTCGTTCATCACAAGGGATACAAAACGGAGGATCCTCACCTTTTAATAGGTACTCATGCGTATATCTAGTGTGGCCAATACGACATCGTCGCATAATGACCTCTTCAAATCTGGACTGACAACCCAAGTAAGTGTAACCGATATAGGGTTTTATTTCATGTAATGCGTTCCATGGTCTTGCAAACGCAGCTAGTTAGTGAAATTGGTCTATAATTAGAGGGATCAGTATGATCACGTCCAGGTTTAGGGATGGGAACAATGATAGCATCGCGCCACGAGGAAGGAAATTTTCCAGATGTCCAAATGTTATCAAAGATATTCAAAAGGGTCTCTAACCATGATTCTGGTAAGTGCTTCAGGAGTTGATAATGTATACCATCAGTTCCTTAAGCAGTATCGTGAGCCTGGTCAAGGGCAGTATGAAGTTCGTGTATCGATTAGGTTTGTTGTAATCCTCCCCATTATCTGAAGTAAAATTAATAAAATTCTTCTCTTGCTGTTGCTAGATGAGGAAGAATGTTTGGCCAAAGAGTCTCCAAGTTTATTTGCAATATCTGATTTATTCGTCAATAATTGATTCCCATCTTTAAGATTGTGAATACTAGATTTAGTATTATAGGCATGAGATTATGGTACTTGCTACAATAATAGATATACAATTAACATTATTAATAACAGGTGATTAAGAGGTGATAAGATATTAATTATGAGAGGATAATAATATATTTAAGATATGAAGTGATTAATAACGTTGTAAGGTAGGAAATCAGTAACGGAGGTAATAAGGTGAGGTGACTCACAGCTTAGGTAAGGGGAAAACTACTACACTATCAAGATTGAGCAACATGGCAACTACTGAACGAAGATCATCGTCTTGTTTTTGCTGGAGGGACTACGGTAAAGTTCCAAGGGCCCCCGGGTACTGACACTGTACCTCTCGCACATCTCTTATCGTCAGGGAAAAAGTACGGGGCTATACCGTAGTTCAGGCAACGACACGCCATCCCAGGTGTGGGATACCGACAGGTAAATACCGTCTGCCTGCCAGGTAAAGGTGCTAGTCAGAACGCCTTGGAAAGGTGGCTGGAGACGCGGGGTAAGTTCCCTGTAGTGAATGGTTGAGAAGCTGAAAGTGCTGTGCAACGGGGACATGTTTTTGAGGAGGTCATATGGTCACCCTTACAATTTGCGCACTTGATAGCATCAGTGCAGTCAGTGCCATCATGATTGTTACTACATCGGAAGCAAACTTGGGGGTTTCTGCAAGACCTCGCACCGTGACCAAATTGTTGGCATTTAAAGAACCACTAAACTTTGTTTTTTGTTACTCTTTTAACCATTACATATGAAAGATTTGTGGTTAGTCTTATGCGGAACACCAAATTTATTCTTTAAAAACTTGTGGTTAATTAATACCGAGCGATTAAAAGTGGCCAAAAAGTCGCCTGCTTCCCTCTCGCCCGCCAACGAAACCACAGACAGGTTACGTAACTCTGTCGCCAGAGCACTGCAGTGACGTCATATGAGGAACGATTTTCAGTTAGTTGTATGGAAAGTGTGTTGCACGCTCATCATTTTGATGATTTCTCGACATGAACGACGACATGCCGAATCGTTGCTTTGTCGTCAATTGCTCCTAGGGGTCGGTGTGACGTTAAATATTAACTCACTCACTCACTCACTCCTAGGGGTCGGGTGATGGTGTCACCGTGCACAGATTTCCACAGGACCTCGCAGTTCGTGCTAAATGGGTTATGTTTGTGAGTGCGAAGCGAGCGTTGTGGAAGCCTGAAACGATATCTTACTTGTGTTCAGATCGCTTCACGGAAGTTAAAGAATCAAAACTACTTACTAGTTATAGTAAAATATGTATATGGTTGATGACCATAAAGATTTTCCATAACACAACTTGTAACATAACGATTTCTTCCTCGGAAGTGAGGTTGTGGTCGAAGTAACAATAATATTGTAAGTAGTATTATATTGACACCCACCTCGCTGCCAGGAGAAATTGTTATGTTATACGCTATGTCATGCAAAATCCTATTGGCCATCAATAAAATACATATTTTACTACCAGTAGAAAGTAGTTTTGATTTTGTAACTCGGTGAAAACAAACCTAAATAGCATTTATCCACAGACTGGTGGATGTTCCCGAAAGGGCGCCGCCATTTTTGAAAATCGTAAAGTCTGTTAGAATTAATGAGATTATAGTTTGTTTTCATCAAGTTAGAAAATCAAAACTACTTTCTACTCGTAGTTAAATATGTATTGGAATCGTAACCAAAAGGATTTTGCATGACACAACTTATAACATAACGATTTCTTCCACGGAAGCGAGGTGGGGGTCGAAGTCACAATTCTGCGCGATAAATTTCTTGCTACATTCACATGGTTAATGTCCACTCACCAGTATGTAGATACTAGTCAATGTGTGTCTTTATATTTGGTCTTATAATCCTAATTAGTTTATTATCATACTTTTATGCATTTTGAAACTAAATAAAAAGC